GTGAGCATTGTAGGCGCAAACGGGGCCCAGGCAAGATGTGCAGTGCCCACCATGCTCTCACTGTGTCTGTGTGGTGCCCGGTGCCCCAGGTCCAGCTCTGTGCCTGGGGATCCAGGATGCTACCACAGTAGGAATAATCAGTACTACTGATCATTCATAATTAATTGGGCCCTAGCTATCTATTGAGCTTTGGGTTTTATCCTGCTGCCTAGCACTGTAGCATCTGGGTGCCTGCCCTGTAAAATCAATGGCAGTAGGGGTCTTTCTGCTACTTCCGCCGGTACCTTCCCCTCTCCTCCCTGCCCCTCGGTTCAGGGTCTGTTGTGCTGTACAGAACCTTGATCTCTGCTGAGGTCTGCACACTGCCTGGCACACAGTGGGGGGCCTTGATCTCAGTGGCGGGTCTGTGCAGTGCCTGACTCCTCAGTCCTGAATGAGATCAGATTAGGATTAGGCTCTGCACAGGATCCCAGCTGAGAGACAGCCTCTACCCCCAAAGAATTTACAATCAAAACAGACAAAGGAGGGGAAACAAAGTCAGAGACCTGTTCATGGCAAAGCTGGGGCAAGGAACCAGCTGTCTTGAGTCTTAGCCAGTTCGCTACCCATTAGACCACCCAGCCTCCCCTGGAAAGCGACCAGCGGCTCCCTGAGTCTGGATGGCAGTCAAACCCGGAACAGGAAAGATGCGCAGTGGAAAGGTCTTAAGAAAGGTTAGATGAGTTGTTGACTTGGCCTCCCCCCCCACCCCCACCCCCCCGCAGTTCAAACTGGGTCTGGAATGGCCTTGCCACGTGTCGTGCAGCCTGGGGCACTCTGGCTCCCATTTTGCTGCACTTGTGCATGTTTTTCCCTTTCTCCTCGGCTCTCTGGCATTTCTCCAACCTCAGCACTTTAGCCCATTGTGTGTCTCTCCCACTGCTAGGAGGCCCTGGTTGGGGAGCCAGGCTCCAGAGGCTGGAAACCGCGGCCACTCCAGCCTGGAAGCTTTGATCCAACGTGTTGGAAAAGGAGATAAGGCACAATATTCCCCCCACCGAGGCTGATGTAATAATAATATAAGACCACCTAGCTCTTACATAGCACATTTCATCCCTGGCTCTCAAAGTACTTTACAAAGGAGGTCAATATCATCAGCCCCATTATACAAATGGGGAAACCGAGGCACAGAGCAGGGAAGTGACTCGCCCAAGGTCACCCTGCAGGCCAACAGCCAAACTGGGAATAGAATTTAGGTCTCCTGATCCCAATCCAGTGCTCTATCTGCTAGACCCCGCTGCTCTGAAGAGAAACCAGAGTGGTGGATGGGAATTGGGTGGTATCCCTTTACAGCATCCAGAAGCCTTCTTACGGGGTTCCCTGTGTTCTAACTTCTTCCTGCCCCAGAATGCCCACATGGTGGTATTGCTTTTTGCAGTGACTGGCACGTTTTCAGCCTCTGCCTGAATTTTCTCACCATTTCAACAGTCTGGCCTCACACCCTCCATCGTTTGCATTGTGAGACTGTGAACTACTGTATGAATCATGCAGGACGTCCCGCCACATTGTGCATCTGTGCCAGGCCTGACCATAACATACCTCCCCCATTTCCTCCCCTGCAGGCGGAGCTGGAACTGGGGGACATGATTGAGATCTTCCGCTTCGGATACCAGCACTGGGTCATCTACGTGGGAGACGGCTACGTTGTTCACCTGGCCCCCCCCAGTAAGGCAGCAGATGGGCCTGATTTCACCATTGCCCAGCCCCCTTACGCCACTGTTCACACCAGTGCAAAGTGCTACCACTCTGCTCGATGGAGCAGGGCGACTTGAGACAAGAATAGAATCGGGGGGGGGAAGGGGCTTAATGGTTAGAGCAGGGGGGCTGGGAGTCAGGATACCTGTGCTTTAGCCCCAGTTCTGGATGGGGAGTGGGGCCCAGTGGTTGGGGGGGGGGTAGGAATTGGCATTCCTGGGTTCCATTCCCAGCTACCCTTCACAGTGTCTCTCTCTCATCCCAAGGTGAGATACCTGGGGTGAGCTTTGCCAGCCTGATGTCCACGCTGACCAACAAGGCCCTAGTGAAGAAGGAGCGTCTCCTGGATGTGGTAGGGAAGCACCGCTACCGAGTTAACAACAAGCATGACAGGAAGTTCCCCCCACTGCCATCAGGGAAGATCGTGCAGGCCGCCGAGCAGCTGGTGGGCCAGGAGATGCTCTACAAAGTCACCAGTGAGAACTGTGAGCACTTCGTCACTGAGCTGAGATACGGCGTGGCCAGGAGTGACCAGGTGCGGGGGCTGGCTCCCTGTCATCCTGACGGGATGCCTGGGTTCTCCCCCAGCTCTGGGAGGGGTGAGGGGTCTAGTGGCTAGAGCAGAAAGACCTGTGAGTCAGGCCTTTTGAATTCTCTGCTCAGCTCCCTGAGCATCCCTGGGCCACTCACTTCCCCCCCTCTCTCTGCCTGTTTCCCCATTTGTAATGACCCTAACTTAGGGGTAAGAGGCAAAGGACGCTGGGGTGGGGAGCATTTGGGATTGAGGGGCCCAGGGCTGAGATCAGGATCCCACACTGGTCCCTCCTGGCTTTGCACTGGGGCAATTTAGCATCCAGTATAACTTGGTGTAATTGGTCCAGATGGCATTGCAGACCCCTAATGCTCTGCGAACATCATCCCTCACTCTTCCAGGTGCTTTTGATCTGCAGAGCTCAATGTGCTTTACAAACTAGGTCAGTATCATCACCCCCATTTTACCAATGGGGAAACTGAGGCACGGAATGGGGGGAAGTGACTCACCTAACAGAGCTGAAAATAGAACCCTGGGGTCCTGATTCCCAGTCCTGTGCTCTAGCCACTAGGCCCCATTGCCATCATTCATCAGCCTGTCTGTCCCCTCCTCCTGATCCCCTTCCTCTCTTGTCCTACAGGTGCGGGATGTCCTGGTGGGGGTGAGCGTCGCTGGGCTGGGGCTGGCTGCTCTGGGCCTCCTTGGGGTTGCAGTCCAAAGGAGAAGACGCCAGAACCAGTAACGGACTTGAATGGATCAGAGGGGTTTGGGGTTTTTTGGTTGTTTTTTTTTTTTTTGGTCCAAGCAGAAGAGACTTTGCAGCCGTTTTGGGGGTGTGGTGGGAACTTCATTTGTGTTGCTCTGTCCCCTCTTTCGGGCGAACACCCTCCCCATCCCCTGCCGGCATCAGCACAAGAATAAAACCAGGAGATTGGTACAAAGTCACCTGGATCGTGGCCTGTGTGGTGGTGGGGTGTGTGGAGCTGGGGGAGCTGGCCCATGTGGGGGAGCTGGCCCATGCTGGGGTCTTTCTGCCCAGTGGGGGCACTATTTGTGAAGGTGGATGGGTTTGCTGGGGAGTTCAGGGGGCTCTGACGCCCACTACTGGATCGGCTTCTTTATAACCTCCCAGTCCCTCTGTGGTCAGGTGACACCTTCCTCAGCCTGTCCAGGTGATCCCAGCCCACAGCCGGGTGACTTTGTTGCCAGGCGACCTCGCCCTGATAAACCAGTTCAGCTGACTCAGAGCGAGCCTGCTGTTTAGAGCGGGTCTGTTTCAAAGGTTGTGCATTTAGCCAGTGATGCTCCCTTACCAGCCCTTTGCCACCAGCTGTGGGGGTTTCAGCCCAATGGGAGGTCACAGGACAATGGAGACAGTAAAGAAGCTGACATCGACACATGCAGAGAACACCCCCTGTCAAACAGAAGTCTTAAGCCATACATACACATTCCCTGGATCATCACAGCCGGCCCCTGCCCTGAAGAGTTTACAATCTAAATAGACAAAATGAACACAGCACACCTGGCCCAATACGGCCCTTATCCCGGTCAGGGCCTGTGAAGCATTCAGCACGGTGTGGGCCCTTACCGTGGTCAGGCCCTCTGGTCGTTACCGTAATATAAACCATAGAAATGACTCTCTCCAGTGTAAGTGACCCTCACTAGCCTCGGCGTCTGGATTCTGTATTTCTGATGTAACTAATTTTCCCTAATAACACCTGGATGGTAGGTATGCACTTTGTGTTGGATGTCGGTACCTTGGGTACATAACTGGGGGGCAGTGAGTAGGAGCGAGGTGGTGGTTTTATCTGTGAATATGGCCTTGGAGAGACCAACTGTGGAAAGCTGTATTCATTTCTGGGGTGCATATTTTAAAAAGGACATTGAGATATTGGAGAGGATGCAGAAAAGAGCCAGAGAAATTATTTGAGGTTTGGAGAAAATACCTAGCAGTAAGAGATCTTGGCAACTCAATCTGTTCGCTGTCTCTAAAGGCGGATCAAGGGATGACTTGATCACGGGGTGTGTGTCTCATTGTGGGGTGCAATTCAGACCAGTGAGAGGCTCTATCACTGCTTATAATATACCCCTGGGGGCCCCAGAAAGCTTCTGCTACTTGTGGCTGCCTGCATAGGACACACACACAGCCTGCAGCCAGCACTCCCTATTCTGTAAGCCGTGCAGCTCAGATTCAACCACTTTGACTCAACAGCCTGCCAGGAGTTATCACAGACACGAGCTTGTCTTACCAGCCTTGGTTGATATTAGCAGGTGACTCCAACAAACACCCCAGTCACAAACCTTCCCAAACCCATCTGCTCTGAAATGTCCCGCCCTCTCCTGCATCATCCAGAGGAATTATAAGATCCATTTGCTCCTTTAAAGAGACAAAAGCCAATGGCTACAAGCCAATAAAAGCATCTAAAAGTCAAAAATACATCTAAAAATACAAGCATCTAAAAGTCAAAAACTTGATCTAGCATTGTTCAGGATGGCTTTTCTCACCCCCACTCTTCCAGCAGCGTGGTGGCTGACACCCCCAGGCGGCAAGATCTTCTCCACAAGCCCCAAAGTGCTGATTCCTTTGTCTTCTTAGGTGAAAGAGAAAACTGGGGCGCTACCAATAGGAACCTCAACCCTAGTACCCTACCCATAGCAATCCTAATGCTAGGGCGAGGAGTCCTACCCATAGGAAACCTAGCCCTAGCTCCGAGTACCCTCAGGGTTCCTATGGGCAGGGTACTCGGAGCTAGGGTAAGGGTTCCTATGGGTAGGGTACCCCGCCCTCGGGTTAGAGTTCAGCTGGGTAGGGCTCCCCGCCTAGCGTTAGGGTTCCTTTGGGTGGGGTACTTGTAGCTAGGGTTAGGGTTGCTATGGGTAAGGCTCCCGGCCTATGGTTTGTGTGCCTGTGAGTGGGGTACTTGGAACTAGGGTTAGGTGTTTTCTGTCCCTTTCTTTTACAGTCTAGTGAAACTTTGAGAACAATTCTTTTTAAGTTTACACCGCAAAATAAAACGTAGTGAAGCTGTGAGGAAGGCAGCATGGAGTCTGCTGGTGGTGAAGGCACCCTGCTTTTTCTTTCCCCACTGGTGCTGGCTAAAATGCAGATTGTTCTGTTTCTTGCGATCTCCCCTTTGTTAGTTTGATGGCTGTTTACAGCTTATGTTTAAAATTAGGTTAAATCCACATTCCTTTATTTATCGATGCCCCCTGACGTGCCTGCTTTAATCACACGTCAGTCATAGTCCCTGCAATATTCATAACTCTTCCTACCCACTGTGTACATGCATCACGCAAGAATATTAATGCTCAGTGAGTTATTGGTTTGCAAACGATACCTCACAAGGCCGCTATTTTGTACGAAGATTATTGCAATAGTGGGTAGCGAGTGAATACAGGGGTGTTTTAGGGTCACAATAAGTAACTTCATGGGGTGAAGAGCCCAGGTATTAAAGGACGCTGTAGCCTGGTGGAGAGAGACAGAATGAGAACCAAAGGCTAAGTTACAGCCAGACACATTCCACTGACAAACAAGGCATCAGTGTTTCTCAGGGAAGGCGATTTCCCATTGGAACCACTTACCAGAGGAAGGGATGGATTCTCCAGCTCTTGACCTCTTCAAATAAAATCTGGATGCCTCCCTGCAAGATGCTTTAATCAAACACACTTTATTGGGCTCAGTACAGGCAGGATGTGGTGAAATTCTCCAGTCTGTGCTGTGCAAGAAGTCAGACTGGATGAGCTCATCATGGTCCCTTCTGACCTTAAACTATGACGCTATGAACCTACAGAACTCATTGCTGAAATGAGACATACTGGCTCTCTCAAGGTGCACGTGCACCTCTTTCCTTTGATCACACACATGGGGATGGATGGGAGAAGGGCTAAGAAGGGACAGATCCCCTCCCCCTGTTATCTTGCTCCCCACTTCCCTGAACCAGCCAGTCCTGCTCTCCTCATGGTTTTAATCTCATTATATGCTAAAGTACAATGGCTTTGTCTTGGCGATAGAATTGAGTGAAATCTGTTTAACATCTCACCTTTAAATCCTAAGCAAGACAAGGCCTGAGTTGCGTTGAAAAACACAGTAGCCCCAACCCTGAAGCAGGGGTATAATACCTTAAAAACATGGTAGCTCCTAGGTTTTGACACCCTTAAAATGGTTTAAGTAGCTGTGGTTAACAAGGTGTTACATGTGAATTTAAATGCAGGATTGCACTGCACACAGATGATTTCCCCTAGTCTAGACCTGGTGCCTGGTCACGAGGGAAGCAGCCTGTGTTCTCTGCACTCCTGAAAGCCAATGGGTGGCAGTTTTCACAGGCGTTGGCAGGTCAGGGCAAAGGCTATGGGGAATCTAGGGTTTACTCTGACTGCCTAACTCATGTGAAAGCTACAAACTGCCTTGTCATCACTACCGTGTGACAGCTAACATGAATTAGGGCCTCACTTTTTTTTTTTAAACGAGCAAAGTCACAATCTTTATTTGGCTCTATGCTGCTGATTAGGCACCGCCCAGCAGACACCAGTTCTCCAACGCCAAAGGAAACCAAAAGTGAAATCCCGGTGCAGAGAGTAGAGGAGTGGCACAGAGAAACTCACTCGGCCTTCCAGACCTGTGGAGATGCCTCCGCTGTTTGTGAGTATCCCCATGCAAAAAGCCATGGCCAAATCGCTTCTAAGGCTCTGGGTCCCTTTAGGCAGCGGTTCTCAACCTTTCAAGACAGCTGTTCTCCTTTCAGGAGTCTGATTCCAGCTCCCAGTGGCGGGGGTTGGGCTTCAGCTCCACCACCCCTGGCTGAAGCCTGTAACTTAGCTTCACGGGGCCCTCTGTGGAGTGGGCAGAATAAACAAGTCATTGTCTGAATGACATTTTAGTTTGCACTGATTTCGCCAGCGCTTTTTGTGTAGCCTGTTGTAAAACTAGGCAACTATCCAGCTGAGTTGACATCCCCCCTGGAAGAGCTCTGGGGTACACATACGCCTGGTTGAGAACCACTGCCTTCGGGATGTCAGTGGGGAGCCTGACACGCACCAGCTCTGCTTGAGAACCCGTGCTAAAACTAGCAGGGTGGACCTTGTGGCCCAGGCGGTGGTTCAGGCTAGCCACGCAAGCAAAGACCCAGGATGTCAGGCGGGCTTGGAGGCAGGTGGCTATCCCGAGACACTGCTCATGCTGCAATGGCCACGTTGCTATTTTTAGCACGCTCGCTGGAGTGGAGTTAGCGTGTGTCAGTTACCCCCAGGCTGGGAGGAATGGTGCCAGCTGCCGTGCAGACATCCCCTTCACGTGAGCTTGGCTCAACGCTTGGGCTGGCTGCTCTGGGCGCAGTTTCCTACAGGAGCTGCAGGGAGGTGGTTGCTGGGGCCTCCCGCTGGACAGCGGCTCAGAGTCCCAGGGGAGCTAGTCCTGATGCCAGGTGTCTCCTGAGGGCGGAGAGAGGAGCCCAGGTCCCTGGCTAGTGGGAAGCTGGATAGTGTCAGATGGACAGGTCTCCCCAGCTCCCATGTCCTCCTCTGCCTGGCCTGGCGTTCCTGCTTGGGGGTGGGGGAGGGCAGTAGAGGGTGGTTAGTGGGGCATAGGGGGAGCTGGTGGGAGAGATTAACAGGGAAGAGAGGGGTGGGAGGCACCAGCGGGTGGAGGGAAAGTGAGAGATGGGGGTGTTAGCAGGGGAGCTGGAGGATTAGCAGTGGGAGCTAGGAGTTTTCGGTAGCAAGGGGAGCCAGTGGGGGTTAATGGGGGTAGGGGAAGCTGGCAGAGGGGATTAGCAGGGGATGGGGGAGCGGGGGGGGGTTAGCAGCAGTCAGGGTGGAGGCAGCGGAGGGGAGGATGGACGGAGGATCTGGTGGGGGATTAGTAGGGGGAGGCAGTGAGGGGGTTTTGTGGGCATCTGGGGGGTTAGAGGGTTCAGGGGCAGCCAGTTTGGGGGTACTATCAGGGCTTCCTCTGAGCATTCAGTTTCACTTGGCTCTCACTCCTGCAGGAGGAACCAAACCCTGGGGACCTGCTAGAGATTTTTCGCTTTGGATACCAACACTGGGCCCTCTATGTAGGAAATGGTTACGTCATCCACCTGGCCCCCCCCAGTAAGGAATGGCCCTCAATGAGGGAGGAGGGGAGCTGAGCCTGGGGGGCGGGAATTGGCCTGGGCAGGGCAGAGGTGTTGGGCATCTCAGGCGGTGAGGGGGGCAAGGGGCTCCATACCAGACGGGGGTACGTTCACTGTGATCCAGCAGGAAATCTGGCCTGGATTATCATGAGTCTTTGTGGGGTGCCTCTATTTACTGGGACTGCCTGAGTTTCTGAGCCCCGGCGAGTCAGGCAGCAGGTTGAGGGACACGGGGAGACTGGGTTGAGGGGATGGATGGGGTGTCTCAGGCTAGGCACCTCCACAAATGGAGATGCCCCTAAAAATCACTAGCTTTTGAAAGCATCACCCTGTGCCTCTGCCCGCCCAAGCCTGCGTGACGCTCAGATGGCCCCAACATGCCCCCCAGCCCCAGGCCTGCCCTGTAGGCATGGGTCACACTCCCAGCCACTGCCTTCAGGGACAAGGCTCTTCAATCCTGTGACCTGGGAGAGGGGAACCCAATGCCAGTCTGGCTCCTGCATTAGGAAGATGGTGGGAACCCAATGCCAGCTGCTAGAACGAAACAGTACTCTCACGGAGCCGTGTGCCAACCCAGTGATGGGGACAGATCCGACTGGCATAGGCGCTGTGGGAAATCTGAGAGCTAGAGAGAGGGTAGGTATGCGGAAGGATGGCTGGATAGCTAGAGGCGTGTGTCTGGGGATGGATGGATAACTAGCTAGAGAGGGTGTATGCAGCTCTATACATCGACAGACGTGGATAGATAGGAACATATAGCAATGGATAGACGGGTGTGTGTAGGGGGATGGATGGGTGGATAGAGAGGGATGGATAGAGAGGGTGTACGGATGGGATAGATAGAGAGTGGTATATGGATGGTTAGATCAGCTGGACAATTGGCACCCCCAGGTGAGTACGCAGGAGCTGGCTCCTCCAGCATCATGTCCGTGCTGACCGACCGAGCCATTGTGAGGAAGGACCGTCTCCGGTACGTTGCTGGTGGTGACAGGTACCGAGTCAACAACAAGTATGACGGGAGGTGCTCGCCGCTGCCGGTCAGCAAGATCCTTATGGAGGCCGAGTCTCTGGTGGGCCAGGAGATGCTGTACAGCGTCACCAGCGAGAACTGTGAGCACTTCGTCACCAAGCTGCGCTATGGCCAGCCCATGTGCGACCAGGTACGTACAGGTGGCCCTCTCACGCGCTTGTCACTGCCTTCCTGAAGGGTGGGCTTGGTGTAAGCCAGCCACACCTACTTGGTCAGGGTCTGGGGTGGGCAGCGCTTGGCACAACAGGGCCCGGATCTCCCTCAGTGTCTGGGCAGCACCCGGCACAACAGGGCCCGGATCTCCCTCAGGGTCTGGGCAGCGCCCATCACAACAGGGCCCGGATCTCCCTCAGGGTCTGGGCAGCGCCCATCACAACAGGGCCCGGATCTCCCTCAGGGTCTGGGTGCTCCTTGTGCTGTGCAGCAACTGTTAGAGCCCTGGCTTAGTCCTTCCTCGTGGAGGACTGGTCACCAGGCTGGTGCATGGGCCCAGCCTTTGGATCCCCCGTGTTTTCAAGCAGCGTCTAGTCACTGCCTCTAGTCCTGGCCTTGCTGGCACATGGCCAAGGTACCCCTCCTTGAGATCGTAGGACTCCTGAGCCCAGCTGCCCTAAAACTAGTGCTAATCTCCCCAGTAGCTTCTCTACACACCCCAGTAGCTCCACCCAGGTTTATAATTTAGCCCTTTGGGGACTGTGTTGCAGATAAAGCAAGGATGCTTTGCAAAGGAAAACAAATGCAAATGCTTTGCAAAGGAACTTAACCAGACTCTCTCTCCCCCTTTTTGGGAGGCACAAGAGCGCTACAGATTTGTGGAAAACGCACCCAACACCTGAACGCAATTCCCTTCCTCAGAGCCCTGCCCACTCCTGAGAGTCTCTTGGGTTCTGGTAAGTGTTGTTCAGGGAGGCCAGGGCACTCCTGCTCAGCCTCCTGGTTCTGCAATGGCCTGGCCCCTTGGCTAGAGCCCATTGCTTTGAGAAGCCACTTCTGGAATCTCTTTCCCGCCTCTCTTCTTATGCTGGGCTTTTCCATGCTCGGGTCCCGCTGTGTGCTGCTGGGCACAGGAGCTGTTAAACGTCCATGACAAAGAACGCCCCAGTGGTGAGGAAACTGAGGCAGGGAATGGTGTGTGGGTGTTGGGTCTACCTGGATCTGTAGATCTCTTGTGCTGTCTGAATAGTGATGGTTGCAAAAATCCTTCTGCAAGTCTGTATCTGCTGCCTTCCACTGTCATGTGTCTCAAAGGGTTAAACTATAAACCAGAGTGCCCTGCCCACAGGTGGGGTTCTGGGAAAGTACCGGCATAAGCTACTGGGGTGTCTTTGGGCCGGGGGAACACTGTAGGCCTAAGGTACCTGGGGTCCAGGGTCCCACTTCAGACAGTCTGTGCCCAGGAACTGGGTCAGAGAGACCAAGGAAAGGGACAGTGACTGAAGTCTGCCCAGACAAAGGAGAGTGTAAAAAACACACAGCAGCCTGGTGAGTGTCCAGCAGGGGGCGCACTGCCTTGCCCAGGGCAGGCTAGTTGAGGTGATGGTGTTGTTCCAGCTTTTCTGACACAGTCTGTTTTCTGCCACTGAATGGATGGCCTGACCTGCACAGATGGTTGCTGAACACTAGCTGTCCTTGTAAACTCAGTGGGCACGGACATAGTCCCCAGACCGGGGCTCCCTGGCAGCTAGCTGACCGGCTCCCCTTTCTGTCCCGCAGGTCAGGGATACCATGCTGACCGTGGGTGCCGCAGGGCTGGGTCTGGCTGCTCTGGGGATCATCGGAGTCATGGTCACAAGGTCCAGGCGTCAGAACCAATAGCACTGACTCCCCTCTGGACCCAAGGCCTGGAGCCTCTGCTGCAGTGGCCCTCAGAGCGGGCTCCTCGTGGGGAGCAAGCTGGACTGGCCAGCATCATCCTGTCCTTTGTATGTCATCAGGTTTTTTGGACTAGACATCTCATTTAAAATAAACGAATCTATCCTCACACGTTCCTCTCTGTCTGCTCATTCCAATTTCACCCAGATATGTGGGGTGTGGGGAATGGTACTCAGATCCTCGTAAATACCCACCCTGCGGGGTGGATTGTGGTGCTGAGTCTATGTGCTGCTCTCCTGGTTTGGTGACTCTTGAGTCATGTAGGCCCGAGGGCCAATCAGTAGGATTGCCAACTTTCCCATTTCTCAAAACCGGACGTTACAGCAGCTCCCACCAGGGATCCTCCCCCACCCGGCAAGGGGCCAGGCCCCTCTCTCTTATCCTGGCGGGAGCTCCTCTGGGCCCGCATCCCGCTCGCTCAGGGGCCAGGGCAAAGTGCAACCAAAGACGCCTGCCTCCAGCTGGGGGCAGACCAGCCCCTTCCCAAGCTCCCCTCTCCTGCCTGGCAGGTGCTGCTCTATCCTGGGATCCAGCTGATGCCGCCAGGCCTGATCCTGCTGGGGGGGAGAGGGGAAGGAGCTGTGCCACCCCATTTTTGCACCCCCCTGCTGGCTCTGCACCAATGGCAGCTGCGCCTCTGCCCTAGACGATTACAGTAACTGGACATTTGGTGTCCACTCAGTACTTCAGACTGTAGATAGAATCAATCCCCTTAAAACTGGGTCAAAAACCGAACACCGGCTGGCAACCCTACCAATCAGTCCAGGCTGTGGGGTACCCCTAAGTCCACATAATGGCCCGGCCATAGGGACTTATTACTGGAAGGGGCCTCCTGGTGTAGCCCTCCCTAGAGCTAGCTTCAGCATTTATTTTATTCAGCAGTACCGCAAGGAACCTACAGGCCTGTTTCCTGTAAGACGCTGACTTCAGCAGTTCCCATAAGGCTTGAGGCCTGTGAACTGTGGCACAGATAAATGACCTAAGGGTCACCCTTAAGTTTGGGGAAACTGCGAATAGTGTTTAAGGTGAAGTTTGTCCATTACGACAGCAGCCAACCACAGAAACCCGAGCTAACATCAGCTTTGGGGATATTTTAGGCTGGGAACATCTGCAGATGTCCGACCACAAGAGGGCCATGGCAATGAACTGATGGATATGATAATGAGTTGAGATCCTTAATCTACTAACCCATCAGAGAAGGGCACCACCACACTGGTAGGGTGAGGAAATATAAGGAATGGGGGGAGAACCCCTACTGAATATGCATTAGGCATAGTGGCATCAGCGCAACATATGGGCAGGAGGCGAGAGAGAGCTGTAGCCCTTGGGAGGTGCCAGAATGATGGCCACTGGTGACGAGGAGGAAGGTGATGAGGAAGATAACGGCTAACATTTCAGGTTGTTCTGCAAGGGATGGGGTGAGGAGATGGACATTCAGATGTACATTCTGTAGTGTCTTGATCTACCTTGCTGGGTTAGAGGGTTTGTGACTTTGCTAAATGTACTGTAAATACAGAAGGGTTCACAGAGTGTGAATGTTGCAACTAAACAGTCATTTTACTAATACTGGGGCTGATCTTGGGATAAGAACCTGTCACACTTCAGAAGGATAACTGGGAATTCGTTAAGTAATCAATATAATTAATTTACAATTCATAGATCAGGCTACACTGGGTCACCGAGTCCAGTCTCTGCTGGTGCAGCCAACTCCATCACAGAATCCCGGTCAGAAATGTATCCAGCTCTGGCTGCCAGCTAGTTGGGTTGTTTCCCCAACACCCCTCCTACTGGGGTGTATTTAGAGAGAGAGCAATCCGAGCCCTCTCAGCCTTCGCCTGGCCAGGCCAAACAAAGCCCAGCTCGTTCAGTCTCCTTTCATAAGATCAGCTCTCCAGTCCCCTCAGCAGCCTAGGAGCCCTTCTCTGCACCTGGGCCAGTTTGGATTCATCTTCCTTGAAGCAGGGTGACCATATTTATACATCCAGGACTCCCCGGACATCAAGCCAGAGGTCATGGTCCAGGAAGAACTCTGGAGGGGTATATTTACATTGCAATTTAAAACCTGCAGCTGGCCTGTGCCAGCTGACGAGGGCTCAGGTTAAGGGGCTGTTTAATTGTGGTGCAGTTGTCCAGCTCAGACTGCAGCCCGAGTTCTGGGACCTTCCCACCTCGTAGGGTCCTAGAGCCTGGGCTCCAGCCCAAATATCTACACCACAGTTAAACAGCCCCTTAGCCCAAGCCCGGTGAGCAGAAGTCAGCTGGCATGGTTAGTCTTAGCAGCTCAGCTTCGGCCAGTCCCACCCACAGCCCGTCAGCAGAAACAACAAGCACCTCCTAGCACCTGAAACACTGCCATCTCTTCCTGCTCCATACATGGTCTAACCACTAGAGGGAGGCAATGAGCCAAAGGGCTTTAGCCAGAGTGCTGCTGTGTTACTTGGGGTGAACAGACTGGGGTTTGTATCGACACATGCCAGCTCTGTGATTTGCAATCAATTAAATTAAATTTGGGGGTTGGACTAGATGACCTTCTGGGGTCCCTTCCAACCCTGATATTCTATGATTCTATGATATTCTATGAAAACAACACAATCACCTCCTCCAATTTTACTCCTGGGGGAGTTCAGTGCCAAAAAAATAAAAATTCTGAAAAATGCAGCAAATTTTATTTATCAAAACAACACTATATAATCATGCCAGTTTCAATTGTTTTGGTAATTTATTTCAAAATACCTGTCAGCAAGTATGTCTGTAAACAATACAGTGACACACAAACATTCCCCCAGGAGTAGAGTTAAAGAAACCCCCATGACAACCCAGTTCCTGCTTCTCTGCTCCCGCCCCCCGCAAAACCCAGCCATGGCCCCCCAGCCCAGACACTCACATCCCTTTTCCCCGCAGAGGCCAGCTGCGGTTCCCCACCCCCCCTCCAATTCAGAAGGAGAAACAGCCTGATGTTGGGTCCTGAGCTTGCAAGAAGTTTCCTGTGCACTGCCGCCTCCTTCCTTCAGGGCCTGCTGGAAACTGCGGCTGCTGGAAACTCTCCAGTTGCCTCCTCCTCCCCTGTATTCTATTTGCCAGCTGGGCTCTGCCAGGTCCAGTGGCCCCTAGTGGCGGCCAAAATCTCTGCAGCCCATTTCTGTGGGGGGGAAAGGAAATTCTGCATGCTCAACATTAATTTCTGCAAAATTCTGCACTGCGCAGTGGCGCAGAATTCTCCCAGAAGTATCCAATGGGAATTGTACCAGCGACCACTGGGGCTAAAAGTTGCAACAGGGGATCTAAAATGGGAACTTTGGCATCAAATACCAATCCTCCTGCTCCACCCCCTTCCTCCACACCTGTAAAGTATGACTGTGTGGGTAGCAGCTCCCGATCATGCTTCAAACATATTCAGGATGCAACTGAACACTGTAGCTTAGCCTTGTGCTAGTTGCAGACACCTTCTTAAGTGCTGACCTAGGCCCATGATATCAGAGCATCTCATGCTCGCTAACATGCAACTTGATGGCCTTTTTCCTGTTTGTCTGGAATGCGATAACTTGAGAATGACACATCAGCTCAGTTCCAGGCATTCCACACAAGTCCCCAAAGACCCAACCATTGGTAATGGCCAGGTTGGCTTTGGCTCAGTGCTGATAGAGGACTATAATATCATGTATGGTATGGGAGAAGTGAATAGGCAGTGCTATTTACTCCTTTACAGAACACTACAACTGGGGTCACCAATGCCATTAATAGGCAGTAGGTTTAAAACAAAGGAAAGTACTTCTTTACACAATGGATAGTCAACCAGTGGAACTCATTGCCAGGGGATTTTGAGAAGACCAAAACTATAACTGAGTTCAAAAGAGTATTAGATAAGTTCATGGAAGATAGCCATTGGTGGACCTATTAGCCAAGATGGTCAGGGATGCAACCCCATGGTCTGAGGGTCCTTAAACCTCCAACCACCAGAAGCTGGGACTTGATAATTGCCCTGCTCTGTTCCTTCCCTCTGAAGCATTTGGCACTGTCCACTGTCAAAGAAAGAATACTGGGCTAGATGGGCCACTGGTGTGATCCAGCATGACTGATGTTCTTATGAAGTGTAAGCATAGAGGTGGATGTTCCTGCTACTCCATGTGAAATCAGACTTGCCCCATCTGTTGATTAAAATTCTGGTATCCTTCTCAAGGCTACTCACCAGCTCAAACTTTATAGATTGGAGGGCAGAAGATATGGGTACAGTGCATTGTGGGAATGCTAGTGGAGGACTATTCAGATTTGATACCTGGTACCTGCCCCTCCAACACATCCACATTGAAGAGTGGGGCAGGTATAGGGTAGGCCTCAGCTGACCCAAGCACGTACCCATATCCCTCAGGTGAGCTAGTTTGCTCAACATCTACTTGCCCCGAGCATGCACTTCAGGGGTTTGAGTGTGGACAACAGGTGGGTTTGGGCACAACTTCAATTCGGACACAGGTAGAGTTAGCAGCATATACGTACATGACCTTCCCATGGGCTGGAATCCAAGCTCTGCATATCCAACCCACGTGGTATTTCCCTTAGATAAATCCAGTGGCAGAATGAAACTGAAAGCTGACAAGAGGGTGTGGAAAGCACAGTCAGGAAAGCCAAGGACCTCCGATTCCGACCTCCAGATGCAAGAGACATCTGTCATCCCTGTAAGTACTGGAGGGTCTAAAGCAAGGTACTGCAAGAGGGTCTAAAGCAAGCGATACAGCTCCAGGGGTGTGGGGGGGTTAACACAGGATGGCCAATCCTGGGAACTGTTTGTCCAGCAGCTCTGGGGCAGTTCTATCTGTTCTAGTTCAATTTTTTTCTCCTGTAGCAGCTGTGCTTGAGCACCTGTTTCGGCCCAGGGGTGCTGGACCTGCCAGCTGCCCTGTGCCAGGGTGATACAAAGCAAACAGCCATGGGAAAGTGGCAGCAGCCCCGAGCTTGGCTCATGCATCTCAGGAAGATTGCACGGTGTAGGGAGGCCAGGCTTACACCCAGGGTTAGAGTTGCTGGACTGTCTCGCCCTCACCAGCAGCAAAGGGACACAGGAGTGGAAGGGATGAGTGTGTGTGCATGCACTCGCAATGTGGGCTTCTTGTGGCATGCAGGGCTCAGACTGGGATTGCACGCAGCGATGTAGTGCATTGTCACCTCTCTCCACTTGCTGTCTTGTTCGCCAAAATCTTGTCTTTCATAAAAAAGGAAGTCTCCTGGTGTCCTGGTTGAGAAACAAACCTAAATAAATATGGACTGAGTGTAACTGACGCAGCGACACCTGCTTGAATCTGCCGAGAGTCTGAGCCAATTGCTCTGAGAGGGGGGAATTGAGTGTAGCTAGGAGTGTATGGGCTGAATGCTGGCACCGCTGAGTGACATCTCGTCTGCTACTGGTCAGGTTTGGGAACATGGAGTCACTTTGTCTTTAAGTCCAATCAGCCTGGCTATGGGATTTCACACGGTGGCCCCATCCAGGGGTCTTCATTGGAATTAAGCCAGGGATGAGGCCTGGCAAGTCAGAAAGGAGGTGGCATGAAACAGGAGTATGCACAAGGGATCATCCTTTTATTAGCCTCTAAACTCCAGGGCTGCTCAACTCCAGCCAGTTCCATGTCAGGGCTCCTGGGTTCTATTTGGCTTCCGGGAGGGAGTGTGAGTTTCATGGCTAGAGCAAACCATGGCATCAGGACACCTGGGTTCTACTCTTAGTCTCACAGAGGGGAGTGGTGTCTAGTGCTTAGAGTGGGGGATAGCGTCAGAGCTCCTGGATTCTATTCCTAGCTCTGGATGGGGAGTGGGGTCTAGGAGGTTGGGGAGGTGGGAGGAACTGAGAGTCAGAATTGCTGGGTTCCATCCCCTTCTTGTGGGCCAGAGCATGGGAGACTGGGGAACCATGACTGCTGGGTTCAATGCCCAGCTCTGCAACTGTCTCCCTTTTCTGACCACAAATCCCCAAACAGCAGAATCTTAAAGCATATTCCCCTGGGGATCTGAGATGCACCGTCTCAGAGCTGAGTTTGCCCTTTTCTATGGGTCTTCTCCCTTCCCCTCCAAGTCAGCAGCAATAGCTGGGCTAGCTGCTCTTTCCATGGCAGGGCTGCTGTCACCTGATCCCTCTCCCAGACTGTCCTGCCCATGTGCCCTGCAGCATGAACTCGGGGCTGTCTGTGGCTCTGACACCCATCTGCAACCTCTTACGCTCATTAAAGAGGAGCGCTCCTCTCTCGGCCCCCAGCCCCACAAGGCAGGCTGAGGATCCAGGACCCCGCCACCAGGCCAAGACGATCATGCCTCTTTCCTCTGTAAGTACTGGCTGCAAAAAGAGCCCCAAGAACTGTCAGTCAAACCTTTTAGCTCAGCTGATCTCTGCAGCTGTTTGTCTGTCCCAGCTGGGTCATGCCTGTCCTAGTATCACTCTCTCATTTGTGGGGTGGGTTCAACGGGGGCAGGGCGTCTGATTACTGGGTCCCCCATGAAGGTCAGCTCTTGGCATGTGTCCTTGAGTTAAATATAGTCTTGGCTAGGCTGGCTGGCAGGAAGAGGAGGTCCTGTTACATTGCATCTGGACTCGTTTCCTCTCAATGGAGTGAAATCAGGGAATATCACCCTTCCTCAATTACAGTGCCGCACTCTACCCTCACAAACCAGCTGCAGAGCAAGAGGGATTTGGTTGCTTAGTTGCCAGTCATTCAGACCGCTTGATCTGCGGGAATCTCTTAAATTCTGGGCTGATTTGCTCAACACTGTTACAACAGATAGCAGGCGTATCCTGCAGTGGGTGGTATGAGGCAGACAGACCTTGGGAGCTCATCTGGTGTTGGCTGGAAAATGTTGTGGTTTCTTTTTCCGTCATAGAAAGTTTTTGATGAAATATCAAGCTTTTTTAAATCAAAACTGGCTGAAAATTGAATATTTTTGGGCAGAAACTATGTATTTTTAGCCAAACACTGAATAATTTTGGCCAGAAAACGAACAGTTTTGAATAGGGTGACCATATGTCCCGTTTTGACCGGGACAGTCCTTTTTTTAAGCCCTGTCCCGGCTTAAAAGTTGGCAAGAGCAAACGGGACAAATGTGCAGTTTTGCCAAAAAAGTGGGGAGTGACCCCCAAGTAGGGTGTGGAGGAACGCGAGGGGTGGAGGGGGGAGCAAGTGGCACAGTCAGCCCTGCGTGGGAGAGAGGGCTCAGAGGAGCAGCGCGGGCTGAGCCAACTGCGCACGGGCGGGCAGCAGAGGGGGCTCAGGCCAGTCCCGCACGTGCGGGGGAGAGGAGGGGCTCGGGCCGGCCCCATGTAGTGTCCCGTTTTCCCCTTGGGAAAATATGGTCACCCTAGTTATGAATCAAAATTGCCAGAAACTGATTTTTGGCCTCAAACTGACAAAATATGAATATGTAAATCATATATTTTCAGTCAGAAACTACCAAAAGTTGAATATTTTTGGCTGAAAACTGCATATTTTTGGCCAAACCAGAGATTTTTTCAGCCAAAACTGATGAAACCAAAACAGTTTCACTTTTTCACAGAAATAAAATCACTTTTTGGTCTTTTGTAGGAAATATGATTTTTAAAAATGAAAACTTGAAGATGAACATTTCTTTCCATGAACATTTTTGTTATGTCAAAACCCCAATTTTCCTTTGAAAAAAACGTTTTGATGGAAAATATATCCCTGGCTCCTATTCCGAGTGGTGAAGGAAAATCCCAATTTTTGAGCCAATCTCATAATGTCTCTTGCAGCTGCACTCCTGAGTTTGAACATGCAGGGTTGTGGCAATACTGTAACATTTCTGTTTTAAAATCCATTTATATGATTTCTGGCTATTTCCCCTTGCAACACCCTAAACATTTCCTCTCTGTGATGGGGTTCCTGGGGTATAGCCTGGCCTGTGGGACTGCTGAGCCCTCTGTCCCTCCAACCTGGGGTATCCTCACACACTGTGATGCTGTATCAAGTTACAAATCTCTGGCAGGTACTGCACCTACACAGCCATCCACAGACAGAGACACATCCAACAGAGTTACATGAATGCTTCTCCCAGCCACTCATGTACCCTCAATAGGGAGGTTCCAGCCAATTCCCACCAGCTCCCCAGCCTTGTACCCCAGAATTGTACCGTCCTGCCCTGGTCAGAAGCCTGACCAGTATAAATTCATTACCCAGTCCACCCACCCCACTCCCATAATGTGGAGAGGGCACAGAATAGCCTTTGTAAACTGAGCTGAGATTTCCCAAGCACTTCAACCAAAACACAGTTTTAGGTAAAATAGAAAACATATTTGTTAACTATAGAAAGATCAATTTTAAGTGCTTATAAGTAGCAAGCATAGAGATCAAAGTTGGTTCCCTAAGAAATAAAATAAATTCACAGTTTAAGTTCTATAAACGAAACAGGATTTGAATCAAGCAGTGTCTCACCCTGATAGATGGTACAAACATGTCACAGAGCTTCAATACAAAGGCTGGAACTCTCCGCCAGCCTGGGACCACCCTCCCCAGTTCAAAGTCTTTGTCCCCCAGACCTTTCTTCCAGATGGTGAATTGGGGGGTGAGTGAGGCCAAGCCACTATGTCACTTCCCCTCTTTAGAGTTTCTTCCAGCTTGCTGGAAAGATCTATGGTTGTGACATGGGTGTCCGCCCCCATTGGTCAAGCATTCTCCATCCTCTACGTGTTCTCTCTGAGAAATCTCCATTGTATACAGCTCCTGGGATAGTGGATTCTCTTTAATGGGCCATCAGCACATCTGGCTATTCCATTGTTGTACCTGAAAGGCTGGTTGGGGGTATTCCCAACCTCACAACACAACACACATAGCAAAACTTCATAACTGCACATACAAGGATAACACATACAATCCAACAGGATAGTAATGTTCAACAGATCAAGACCTTTAACATGATACCTCACAAGACATACTTTGTGCAAAACATATCAATTATATGACAGGGGTGAGTATGGGGATCACAGGGTGTGGCTTTGAGGTTCAGAGTGCCACGCTCTCCTTCCTTGATGATACTTATGGCAATGAATCTGCCTCACATCTGGTCTAATTTTAGCTTTTCTTTTCCAGCAATGAGCTAAACAGGTTCCCCAGGAACCACAACAATCTGGTGTCCATTCATGCTACTTAGATGCGATGCAAACACTTACGTTTCTTTTATCAGTTTCTGAGGATCTACATAGGTGACACATTTGAATTAGTCAAGGGGAAACTGAAATCCTAATTTCTTTAAAATACAGAAACTCTGAGAAAATAAGCCATTCTGCTTCTGAAGCTCAACGAAAATGCCACTTAAAGGGGTAAGTACTAACTGAAATGGTTTGTATACCAGAATAACTTGCAATTGGGCTTGTCCTTTATTCATAGATTCATAGAACCATAGATTCCAAGACCAGAAGGGACCATTATTCTATGATTATGATAATCTAGTCTGACCTCCTGTCTAACAAAGGCCAGCAAACTCCCCCAAAATTATTCCTAGAGCAGAGCTTTTAGAAAAAACATCCAATCTTGAATTCAGAATTGTCAGTCATGGAGAATCCACCATGACCCTAGGTAAGTTGTTCCAATACTTAATTACTCTCACTGTTAAGAAGGAACATTTCGACTTCGACAAATTGCCATTTGCTGATGGAAAAACATTGCATAGAATCATAGAATCATGGAACTGGAAGGGACCTCGAGGGTCCAGTCCCCTGCATTCAAGACAGGACTAAGTATTATCTATACCATCCCTGACAGGTGTTTGTCCAACCTGCTCTTAAAAATCCCCAATGATGGAGTTTTCACAACCTCCCTAGGCAATTTATTCCAGGAAGTTTTTAGTTTTTAGTTAGGAAGTTTTTCCTAATATCCAACCTAAACCACTCTTGCTGCAATTTAAGCACATTTCTTCTTGTCCTATCCTCAGAGGTTAAGAAGAACAATTTTTCTCCCTCCACCTTGTAACAACCTTTTATGTACTTGAAAACCGTTATCATGTCCCCACTCAGTCTTCTCTTCTCCAGACTAAACAAACCCAATATTTCCAATCTTCCCTTATAGGTCATGTTTTCTAGAGCTTTAATCATTTTTGTCGCTCTTCTCTGGTATTTCTCCAATTTATCCACATCTTTCCTGAAATGTGGTACCCAGGACTGGACACAATACTCCAGAAGAGGCCTAATCAGCACAGAGTAGAGCGGAAGAATTACTTCTTGTGTCTTGCTTACAATACTCCTGCTAATACATCCCAGAATGATGTTTGCGCTTTTTTTGCAACAATGTTACACTGTTGACTCATATTTAACTGATTTTTTGGCCCCAAACTGACAAAATCTGAATATTTAAATCACATATTTTCAGTCAAAAACTACCAAAAGTTGAATATTTTTGGCTGAAAACTGCATATTTTTGGCCAAGATAGAGATTTTTTTCAGACAAAACTGATGAAACCAAAACAGTTTCACCTTTTCACTGAAATAAAATCACTTTTTGGTCTTTTGTAGGAAATATGATTTTAAAAAATGAAAACGGATCTTTTCCATGAACATTTTTTGTTATGTCAATACCCCAATTTTCCTTTTGAAAAAAATGTTCTGATAGAAAATTTCCCCCTGGCTCTTATTCTCAGCGGCAAAGGAAAATCCCGACCAAGCTCCCAACCCCTGCATAACCAGAAGAGGGTACAACCTCAGATCTGCCCTGAGATTCCAGGCCCAGCATGCCATAGACCTTAGTGATGCATGAACAAATAGCCCATCTGGAGACCCTGCCCCAGGTGCCTCCTAGTGGTAGGGAGAAGTGCCCCTCATAACCCACATGCTTGAGCCAAATCGCTTCTCCAGCTTCTCTTAGACACCCAGCCTCTGAACCACTCACCCTTCTGCCCATTTTAGTGGCTAACCCCTCTCTCTGGTTAATTGCACCATCTTCATTGTACATTACACACCTCCCCCGCATCTGATCCAGAATCTGTTACAGCTGCAATCTGGACCAGCTGGGTTCCTTAGCTCCAGGGGCAGAAGCTGGTGCTTTGGGCTCTGGTGTTTACCAGGTCAATCCCCTCTAGCAGTTGGATCAGCCACCCTGCTATGTTCTCAAAGTCTCTGCGGTGAGGGATTCCGTGGCGGAGAGGTAGGTAGGTAGGTTTGCTCCTCCCCCTCCCACTAGTCATGCTGATTTTGCTCCAACAGGAGGAACCGAAGCCTGGGGACCTGATTGAGATTTCCCGCTTTGGATACTGGCACTGGGCCCTCTACGTGGGCTACGGACATGTCATCCACTTAGCGCCCCCCAGTAAGCACCCTGCCTGGCTCTGTCAGTGTGTGTGTTTGTCGGTGGGGAAAGAGTGAATAGAGGGTGCTGATATAAGGCTATGCCCAGGGCCAGGGCCAGGTTGTTGGTATTGGGGATTGAACCTGGGACCTCTAGGTCTAAGATCATTAAGCCATCAGGGCTTGAGCTCATATAGATGGTATATTGCTTTAATATCCTCTTTCTTGTATGTTACACTTTGTTCCCACTGCTAAGACTAAACACTACTTTGGTGTAAGTCAGTGTCTGGTCACTGCGCACACCACAGGTCATAGGGGCCCAAAGGGAAGAACCGCAGGTGCCAAACCCAGTTGGACCTGCAGAGTAGGCAGGGCTGATCAACAGGATGCCATAGCCCAGGGCTCTGTTTAAGAGTAGGAGAATCATATATGATTCCACCCCCAGAGAGGTAAAGGCACGAGGCCTGACACCTGAGAGGGTGCACTGGGGACAAAGGTACAGCCAGCCCTGTAGCTGGGACACGTGCCCTGCTTGGCTTGGTCTAAGACACATCCCAAGTGATGGAGACTCCAGGGAGGGATGGAAATCTCAAAGTCCATCCAGATCTGTTAGCACACGGTCCATGTGTCTGTTCTGGATCCCCAGGTGAGTTTGCCGAAACTGGATTCTCCAGTCTGATGTCCGTGGTGGCTGATAAAGCCATGGTGAGAAAGGAACCCCTCTGGGCGGTGGTGAAAGGCGATGACTACCGGGTCAACAACAAGCATGACGGGAAGCTGCCCCGGCGGACTGTGGACCAGATTATCCAGGAGGCAGAGTCTCTGGTGGGGAAGACGATGCCATACAGTGTCACCAGCAAGAATTGCGAGCACTTCGTCACCAAGCTGCGCTACGGTGTGGCCAGGAGTGACCAGGTGGGGGGCAGAGTGGGCCCAGCTGTGTGTGTGTGTTTGTGTATGTGTGTACACACACATGCCATGTGAAGCCCTGCTATGTGTGCACCTGTAACCCACACGCCTCCTGGGTGTGGTGTTCTGTCCCATCTAGTGCCACTGAGACCACTTAGAGATTAATGAGTCTGCTCTCCAGCCTTAGCTAAGGGCTAGTTGGATTTTAGCTCATGCAGTAGAGGCTCATGCACTAAGCTCCAGAGGTCCCAGGTTTGAGCTCACCTACCGGGGGTCTGTCGGTGTTGCACACAGACCCCGTCCGAGATAGGGGCCCTGTCGTGCTGGGCTTTGTACAGACACACAGCAAGAGACAATCCCTGCCCTGATGAGTTTACAATCCAGCTAGACAAAGGATGGGAAGGGAGGCCCAGAGCAGGGAAGGGACTTGCCCAGGGCCAGGAGTAGAGCCTGGAATAGAACAAAGGGGACCAGAGTTAAGCTGCCTCCAGTGAACTGTGGAGGCCGGATGCTCTAAAATGGACTTTAACTCAGCGTGGTTCTTGTGCCATTTATTGCTGTGTTTAAAACCCCCTGGGCGATCCGGGGCCTCCTGACCAGGTTTTGTCTGTGCTTTGCAGGTCCGAGATGCCATGGTTGCAGGGGCAGTGGGGATCGTGGGCGTAGGAGCCCTTTTAGCGGTTGCTACATTCATTGGCACATTGCTCTCTGACAACAAGCAGGAGGATGAATAATGCAAACATCGGCCTGGGCCAAAGACCTGAGCAAGGTCAATGGGAGTTGATCTTTACTGGAGCTGGTTTAGCTTCTCACCTGCTTTCTCCTTTGGCATCACTGCCCTTGGGAGTTTGTTCTAATGGTTAATCACTTGCATTGTGAAACACTGGTGCCTTATTTCTAACTGGAATGTGTCTGGCTTTAACTTCCAGCCACTGGGTCTTCTCCTGCCTTTCTCTGCTAGGTTAAAGAGCCCATTAGTACCCGGGATTTTCTCCCCGTGAAGGTACTTATACATGTAACCCTTCTGCCCGTCAGAGTTGGCAGCAACAAGGGCCGGGTTCAATATCTAGGGGATCCATTCGAATAACACAATGCAAACTGGCTCGAGCCCCCACCCAGTGACCTGGGACAAATATATACCACCCCCGCTGGGTGCCTCCAAGAGGCAATACTTCCCCTCTCGCAAGCACATAGTCTGAGTGTAGCAAAAGCCTTTTAATAACAGAGAGAAACAATGTGGCATTATGTTGGGGAAACACCACCAACAGGATTCATAACACAACCGATGAGCAAAAAAAAAACCCACCCCAAGCAAATTGGGGCATGCCCTTTTCCCTTTGGTTCTTGAGTCCAGCAACCCCAAATCACCCAAAGTCCCAAAAGTCCAATGCCCCAAAAGTCTCTGTCCCTGGTCAGGGCAGCCCCAGAGTTCGAAAGTTTATCTGCGGAGCTTTACCTCCCAACCTGGGTGGAAATGGGACGGGGGTAAGAGGCACCTTACATGATCTGAAGCTGACCGCCCCATAGCAGCGCTCCGCTCCGTCAGCCGCCCCACGAACTCCTTCGCTCAGCTGCGCTCCGCTCTGCCAGCCGCCCCACGAACTCCTTCGCTCAGCTGCTCTCCGCTCTGCCAGCCGCCCCACAAACTCCTTCACTCAGCTCCACGGCCCACAAGCAGCTCCTGCCATCCACAAACTGCTCCGCGTCAAACTGCTTCACCAGCCAGTCCGCAAGGCACTCCAGCCATCCCGCAAACTGCTCCACAATATATCTTCAGGCTCCCCCACTACTTAACACAACATTCAGTGATTTCAGCTCTTAGGTGAATTCAGCTTGTAGTAGGGGAGCCCCAGTGCTGGTGCACTGTCAGCCCAAAATGAGCTCAGCAGCCTATAACTAGACTTCTAATGAAATCAAAATTAGCTCTAATATTCCACAGTGGAGAGAGGAGGAAGTGCAATTAGCATATAAGGCCCTCACCAAGAGGCCCATGCCACCAAGTATTAATACTTGTCCCCAGCCTCTCTCTAGTCACAGTTTTGGAACCCATGACCCTTGCCTAGCGAGTGCTACTTAGTTGATGGTGAATCCCTCCATCATAACAAAAGGCCACATACAGTTCCAAGCACAGTTCCCATAATCAGGATAATAACAATTTATTCTTTCTGCCCCAATAACAGAGACACTGGGGATCCCACAGCAGCCAAAGTGACCATTTGGGCAGCTATGGTCTCATTCTAGGCGTGGTGGGTGTGCCTATGCAAATGAGATCGGCCCTTGAAGTTCTTTTCCACAACTTGCCACACCTCACCACCAGCTGTCAGGGTGGAGCTCATCCTGACACTGCTTACATCCAAAGTAATCAAGTCACCTCTCAACTGAAGCTAAACTGATTGAACTCTTTAAAGCTCTCCCTGGCAGGCATTTTTTCCAGCCCTCAAATCATTTTTGTGGCTCTTCTCTGCACCCTCTCCAATTTAGCAACATGAATGTTACAGCAACTAGTGTTTTCGGACAGCTGGGACATTCTTGGTGAGTGTGTGTATAAATCTAGCCAGCGAGATTCTGCAGCAGATCTACAAGCTTGCATCAGCATTAACATATTGTATGGGTCACGCTGAACCACATGTTGTTAAAGAAATAAAAGCATTGCTCACATGCCTGACACTTGGGTACAACCGCTCTCTGAAGGCATTAGACACAAGTGTGTTTAGCAAACACTCCCGAGGCCTATTCTACACTCAGGAGAAGCCCCAGATCAGCAATATTGTCTTGTGATATTTGTTGCTTTTCTTCAAGCCCCAGCTCCTGGAGTCATGTGAGTTTGAGGGAATCTCAGCTTACAAAAGGTTTCTAGACCTCCCTTGTGTAGAGAAGGGCTTGAACCACGAACACCATGGCACCAGATGGCAAACACAAAGAACCCCAATAGTTGTACTTGTTAAAAATAATTCACACCTCTCCTGATCTTGGGTGGGGGGAGCTGACTCCATGGTTTTGACTGTGATGATTTGGGGCTGGCAATACTAGAACTCCCATCAGCATAATTACTGCAAACTCCAGTTAGTTCCCTGATTGCTCAGTCAGGGCCCTTCCTGCGCATGCTCCTGAGCTCTGTCATACTGAGGGGAGGCCCCAGCCGGGGCCCCAATCAAGCAAATTCTTTAAGTGCATGCTTAACTTTAAGCATCCAAGAAGTACCATTAACTAGCTGGGCATGGATCAGACCCACTGCCCTAGCAAAGGAATGCCCCATAGCCCATTTCCCAACCCACTGAGCCAGCCAGTCCCCCCACCCTAGCACTGGCCTGGAGCTGCCACCGCTGAGCAAGGAAAAACCCCGTATCCCATTCCCCAAATCCCTGAGCCAACCGGTCTACCCAATGTCAGGCTGGATTGGAGCTGGCACCCTCTAGAGAAGAAAGGGCCCAGATCCCATTCTCTACCCCCCCTGAGCTAGCCAGTTCCCCACCCTGGGGCCCGATTGGACCCAGCACCCACTAGCATTTGACCCACCCACAGCCTGGGCCACTCTGAAACTGGAGCCCGCATGTAAGGTCAGTATCTCACTTTCAGTTCCCTTAGCTGATTCTTTCCTGAAATCATGTGGCTTGTTAGAATTTGAGCAGAAAATGTCAATTGGCCGAATCATCAGCTACGGAAGGAAAATACACTCCAGGCCCTGGTCCCTGGTGAGGCAGGCAGCCAGTCTCCCAGCCTCATGCTGGACTGGAGCTGGTGCACCCTAGAGGGGAAAGGCCCCGTCCTCCATTTCCTGCCCCCCAAGCCAGCCAAGCCCCTTGATGAGGCAGGTTTGTAGCTGGTGCCCCTATCACAGATCCAGTGGAGTTCCCCTCCCTGGCCACTCTCCAGGCTGCCCTGGGGGGAATCCCCAGCCTCTGGATCCCTAGAAATTTTAAGCTTCCCTGGGTCTCAGCAGGCTGCAGCCATGTTTCCTCCCTTTGCTGCTGTGGCAATTGCCTGGGCCCCAACCCGCAGTCTGTCACCCCTTCACAGAAACAGAGCCCCTCAGCCCACCTGCCTTAAGCCCCCACCTCCAGTGCTGACCCCAAGACACCCCAATTGCTTAATCACACCTCTCCCAGACTCCCACCAAAGGTGTGCGCCTTCCAGCTCCCCATGAACTCCCTCTGGGGCACAGGGTAGGTGTAGCGCATAAAACAGACACTCTGCACACAGTTCTGCGACACTGCTGCTCCTTCCTTATGCACACGAGAGAGACACAGATCCACACAAAAATAATAACTCCTCCACGCATGTCCCGTCCCTTGTGAGTGCGGGGGCCACCTGCCTTCAGGTAGGCATGGTCCCCCTGCCTCAGGTTCCCTCCCCTTAAGCCTGTGAAAAATCAATGGGCAAAAAGCAAACAGTGCAGCTCCTGCCCTTTATCATTTTCTAGTCTCTGGTCAGGTGACTTCCTGGGAAACCTCAACAGGGGACTCCCAACAGCAAGATCTGGGATGATGACAACCAGTTCATTGTTTAGAGCGCCTCCTCTCTCAATAGCGGAGGGTCCAGATTTAACGACCTCCATTGTTAGGCCTTCCCCACCCCCCCACCCCCACTGGAATTTTGGTCCAACCTGGAGGTGAGAGGCCAGCAAGGAAGGCAAAGGGGCTGCACCTTCCACATGGAGTTTGCCACTTGGGAAGGCTATGTGCAGAGAGCTCAGAATCTCACCCAGGATCCCTCCGTTGTACAGACAGATTCCCGAAATTGTCACAGCATGGCACAGACACTCAATGTAGATGCAAGTGGGGGATTGGTCCCGCTATTGTGGGAAACTTTCCTGACTATACGCTCCCCCAGTGAAATGGGCTAGCGAAAGGATCTGAGTCCTCACTTCCACTCCCCCAGAGGCCTGCCTGACCTCGAGGGCTCCCCTTCCACTCTCCTGTGTGGCAGAGTCCTCGTAACCCCGACAAGGCTGGGCCCAGGATTCCTGTGGGGCTCAACCCCCAACCTTGTTGTGGTCACTTAGGGCAGGGTCTAGGGTGTCCTCACTCCAGGGTGCTCTCTCCGCACTGGTCGCTTCCCTGACCCACTGATCATTACATACAGTTCAAAACTAATACAAATTAGTAAAGAGCAACCAATGGAAAAAGCAAGGGAAAAATGGGACAGGCGAAAGGAAAACCCATCCCCCGCCATGTGGCACAGGGACACCACAATCAGCTGTCTCTGGAACGTAAGGGCCATTCACAGCCTGTCCCTCACATGTCCCAGGCCCCTGCCCAGGCCCTGGCTGTGCTGCAGGGGTGCAGTGGGTCAGTCACTTGCTCTGGCGGTGGCCACACGCCCTCTGGCGCTAGGTGGCAGGACCCTTCTTCCCCCGTCAATCCCCCCTGCTGTCACTGTTATGATCCCCCCTCCCAGTCCGGCCTGCAAGACCTTCTGGCTGGGGACGTGTCCCTGCGCTGGGCTCATTGCCCAGGGTCCCCCCTTGCTCTCCCCAGCTGCTCACCACACCCGGCTCCAGCCCCAGCACGGCTGCCACTACACCTGAGCGGCTCCACCCTGCTCTCTCCTTAGCTCGCCCCTCTGGCCAGGCAGCTCCCGCTCACTCAGAGGATGGGACCCCCGCCCTGGTCTCCTGACTCCCTATTGGCCTGCCTGCCCTGTCAATCAGACTGACCTGGAGCATTGGCCTCTCCCCATTGCCCCTGGGGACTGTCAGTCTCAGGGTCCTGATTTCCCATCGACCCTTCCCCTTTCTTTCGGTACTGGGAGCTGGCCAGCCAAAACCCCAACTAAGTTTTAGTAAGGGGCCAACAGTCCCCTTCCACAGAGGCTGGGGGAGCAGGATGAGCAGACACAATACTTAGCACAGACACATGGAACTGAGATCATGACCCCCATCGTGCCAGCTGCTACACAGATCCCCACCTGAGATTGGGGCCCTGTTGTGCTGTGGGCACTGCACAGACATCAACCAAGATCGGGGTCCCTGTTGGGCCAGGCACTGCACAGACGCACACAGAGGCTATGCTCTGAGGACCTTACAATCTAAATGCACGAGACAGCCAGAGGAAGGATTATTTTGTAACGGGACCACTCAGCACAACAAAAATAAGTCTGCTCACAGAGCTGCAAGCCAGGAACTGGCTGCTTTGGTTAACTACATCGTTCACAACAGCCTGGGGAGGAAAACACCCACCCACTCAGACAGGAGGAAGGGAGAGATGGAGCATGGCTCTATAGCCCATAGGACTCTGGGTAACCCAGTTAATACAGGGTTAACTTTACTACAACTTATTATCTCCGTTTTGCCATTGGAGACACAGGCAAGGGGGGGCCTGTGATTCTCATAAGGATTCAATAGCTTTCTAAATTAGAATGCAAGTATTCCAAGGCTTTTCAAATGAGGCAACAATTCCAGTGGGTAATTTCTTGATGCTCCTTTGAATATCTCAGTTTAAGGCCTGCGCACCTCACAGATGTTGTACCAGCATCAGTGTGGCTGTTAGGGATGATATTGTTAACAATACTGGTACAACCGCTAGTGTGCATGCAATTAGACCAGTATAAAGGTGCCTCATTCTGTATAGATTACTGCCCTGCAGGAAGAGGACTAAGGAAGCAGGGAGGCAGTGTGGCCTAGTGGATAGTGCAGTGGCCTGGAACACAGGTGGCCAGGATTCCTGGCTGTGCCACTAACCTGTTGGGTGACCTTGGGCAAGCCGCTTCCTCGCTCTGTGCCTCAGTTTCCAAATCTGTAAAATGGGGGTAATTCTGCAGAACTGCTTTGAATGCCAAGTGTTACAGAAGAGCTAGGTAGCTCTCTGCTACAGGTCTAAAGCACCTCTGTAAATGCTGTACAGAATAAACCGTTCACTCACCAGACCACTGGGGAAATCCCCCACCAGGGTGGGCAGCGGTTACCTGGTAACCAGAGATGGAGCACACAACCCCCTGTGATGTCATGATAAGTCCTCCACATCCCCCTCCCCAACAGACAGTGTTACATTAACCCACTACAGGGAAGGCGTGAGCGCCTCCTACAGGTAGTTAGTGGTGGACAATCCAAGGACGGAGGGGGTGTATAGCTGAGAAGGAGGATGGGCCAGTGGGACCGAGGTGTCCTGAGCTTTGATCCCATCTCCTGCTGTAGTGCTGGGTAATTGCTTTGGCCCTGGGTTTTCTATGAGAGGCAGCGTGGTCTGTTGGGCGGGCAGGGGGAAGTGATACAAGGAAGTATTCAAAGCCACATAACAGAGCCAGGAATAACTCCCGGTATCCTGAGCCTGAGTCCAGCACCCTAGCCACTGGGCCCACCTGCTTCTGCTGTCTTGGGGGTTGTTATCAATATGGCACATGCCTTTGTTTTAGCTATGCCAATAGGAATCCCACAATGCGACCAAGATGAATGATGAGACGCGAAATAATTCCACCTCCTGCATCAGGGTGAAGATCCCCTCCGTCCACGTAAGTGCAGCCACATGCCCAGCCACACTCATGACTTTTGCTCATGATCCGGATAACGCTGAGCCCTGAAGTCAGTGATACTTTCTGGGTCCTGTGCCCTCTAGTGCCTTCTGCAATATTTGAGCCACAAAAAGCCACCCAGGGAGAGCCACCCCTCCCCCCACCTAGCTCCACAAATAAACAGGGTTATGGTTCCCTTGAGCTTAGGTTTCATGGGGTCAAATCCAACCTGCCAGCATCCCATTAAAGAGCCTTAATATGTCACCAAGCAATGTCTGCAGGGATGGTGCTCTTCATGATCACCCCCACTCCCCAATATTATCTGGCCCTATCAAGGAAACCTCAGTTACAAGCCAACAGCAAGATCCGGGATGAGAATGGAAGCTGTGGGGAAATTAGGCACATGGGACTGTTATCAGAGAACGGTGGAGTGACTCTGCTTAAATCAATGGGGTTAGGGCCAGATTCTGCTCTCAGTGCCCCTGGGGTAGATCCAGAGTCACCCACTGACTGCAATGGGGGTCCAGGCTGGATTCTGATCTCAGCTCCCCCTGGGGTTCATCTGGAGTCACCCACTCACTGCAATGGAGTCAGTCCCGGATTCTGATCTCACTTATGTCTGGTGTAAATCCAGAATAACTCCAGTGAATTTAACAGGGCTGGGGCCAGCTTCTGATCTCCTGCACTCTAGTCCAATCTAGCATAATCCCATTGAAGTCAGTGAGGCCGGGGCTAGATCTTGCTTTCATTTATCCTGGTCTAAACCTGGAATAACTCCAGATTGATAGCAATAGAGTAAGAGTCAGCAACTTATCCCACTGGAAACCCATGGCGTCACTCCAGATTGATAGCACATTCCAGCCCTCCGTATTCATGTGTTCTTGCTGATGCAACTTTCCTCTTTGGAGAGCCCTTTCCTATGTGGCCACGATTCACCATGGGTCTCTAATGGGATCCCCATATCTCCTCTCCGAGGTGGAACTCAAACCCGGTGACCTGATTGAGATCTTCCGCTCATGCTACCAGCACTGGGCAATCTACGTCGGTGATGGCAAAGTCGTTCACCTGGCTCCTCCTTGTAAGTGCCCCCCTCCCTAAAGGGGGAGGTGTCTTTTGCTGGAGGCTGAAGGTGGGTCCCGGCCATGGGAGTGCCTTAGGGGTTTCTATCTGCAGAGGAGCCAGTGCTCTGTGCAGGATTTGGGGATCCCATGCCATGGGAGCTGCAGCCCTTATGTGCCTTGGAGGCCAGCTGCATGGACGTTCAGCAGTACTGACTGCCATACAGCAGAGTGTAGTACTGCCTGCTGGCACTGGGGGGAGCTGGAACAGCTACAGCCCTGAAGAGTGTGGTTGGGCTCGCTGCCACTGGGGGACTCAGTGCTCCAGCCTCCGGAGGCTGCACTACCCCTGGCTGTCCCCTGCTGGTGCGGAAGGGGACTGCAGGCAGCACAGGGTGGAGGTGCAGAGCAGAGATTGGCTGTATGCAAAGCTGCCTGCTGCCTCTGCTCCTGCAGCCACAGGAAGGTGTGGTTGGGTGGGGGATGCCCACGTATCAGCCACTGTTCCCAGCCTCCAGGGATGCGAGGAGAGCTCTGGGGAGATGCAATTTCCCCCAGGCACCATGGAATCTCCCTGCGTCATACCCAGCTCAGTGCCGACTCAACGGATCTCGCTCTCCCCCACCCAAGGTGAGCACCCCACGGACGGCGTTGCCAGCGTCCTGGCTGCCCTGTCCGACAGAGCCTATGTGAAGAAGGACTGGCTGGAGGACGTGGTGCGCAAGGACCGCTACCGGGTGAACAACAAGCACGACGAGACTCACCACCCGCTGCCAATCTCCAAGATCGTCCGGCGGGCCCAGGAGCTGGTGGGGCGCGAGATGCCCTACAACCTGACCAGCCACAACTGTGAGCACTTCGTCATGGAGCTGCGCTATGGCGTGGCCATGAGCGACCAGGTGGGTGTGAGAGGGATAGGGCCTCACACCAGCATGGTGACCGTGACCCATGGATCGAACCTGGCACCCCCCAGACCTAAGCGCCTGAGCCTCCTGGGACAGCAGCTGGTCCTTAGGGGTGAATGAGACTCAGCCCCCCCAGGAATGTCATTGCCTTGCAGCGTGGCTGATGTACTGCAGGGTACAGTTCCGCCTGCGGCCCCAGGATCTCCTCAAGTAGCTGCAGCCCCCTGTGTGACCACTATCAATTCCCCACTCTCCCCCAGCACGAATTACTATTTGGTATTTGTTTTGTGGTGGCACTTAGGAACCCCGCTCACTGACCAGGACCCCATTGCAATAGACTCTGTACAAACCCAGTCAAACCCAGCGTCGGACCCCCTGCAAAACGAATCCAGCAAGTTCCCTTCCCCTGAAATGATTGCACAACCAGAGCATGTCAGCGGCTACCTCTGTTCCCCTGCCTTGGTGCCTCTTCACAGCCCCAGCAGGCTGCTGCTGCCTCCTTTCCTTTAAGTATTACAGCTCTGCGTTAGTAGCAAGAGGCTGTAGGGGCAGGCGGGGGAGAGCGGGATTCATGCCCCTAGGACGGAAGATCTTGACCTATCCTGTGGCCTCCCTGGACGGGGCTTTTGCAGCAGGTGCTGCTTGACGTCTCATGGGCTGGCCGGACGTCTCAGCCTTCCTTTCCACCTCGCTTGCCTCAAGCCTGTAAATGACCCCACATGGGAACCCCCGTGTCTGATGGGCACTTTGTTCTGTTCTGCAGGTCACAGAAGCAATAGCCATGGGCACTGTGGGGGTGATGGGAGTGGCGGCGGCTGTGATCAGATCCATGGCTCAGAGACGCAAGCATCGGAAGGAGTAGCAGCAGATGGAGGGAGCGGGGTTCGTACCTGCACTGGCTTGGGGCGATTAACCCAGCTCTCATCCTTTATCATCAGATTGTTTTCAGTGCAAGATGAAAGGTAAATGAGATTTCGTGAACAAAGCTGCCCCATAGCTGACACCCAATTGTATCCCAATAAACTCATCTTGAGACCCCTGCATCTTGCTGTCTGGGCTGAAAACATACAGTAATGTGGCTCATAGCTTGGTCACCTTGTGCTGTGGTTTCCCATCTTCTCTCCCATGCTAAGCCGGGTTGGGCTGGCTCAGTGTATTCATGAATGATCTCCTGGGAAATTGCACTGATTCAACAGGGGACGCTCTGAGTGAGGTGCTCCCTTTCTGATGTAACCCAAGATCATAATCATGAAAGATCCCAAGGCACTTTTGTGAAAGAACCTCTAGGGTTTTAACCCTCGGGTCCTGGTCAAATACCCAGGGGGGTCATTTCATTCTGTCTTCTTAAATTCCTCCCTGTAGTTTCAAATGGATACAGAACTCACCTGGCTTCCTTAGCGGGTGGGTAGTATTGCTATTAAACATTTGTAGTGTTCCACTCCAGAAGCAGCTGCATGTTATTGCTGGATGAGGGATCCCTGTACAAATAACCCCCATGCCTCACCCCAGAGATGGCTTCATCTCAGCTCTGTGTGGTGTAGAGAGGTTTGGCTAGAGCTCATCTCTCTCCCAGAGCGGAGGGGGACCACACCGCCTTGCTACTTCCTTCCAGTCATTGACGGGGAATTAGCTTGGCCGCGGGAGTCTATTGCCGCGGCTGCAGTAGAGGCAAACACAGCCAGTTATTCGTGCCCGGCCCGTGGTCGGCGGGCAATAGTGAGTCAGTGGCTCAGGCCCTTGGGCAGGGGCTGAGCAAGGCAGGTAAACAACAAGCCCAGGCCCTTGGCTCAGAAGGGCCTGGAAGAGGGGGAGACTGCCATCCACAAGTTGGGTGGCAGGGGGGAGGCAGGCCCACCCACTCCACTGCGCCCCACCCCGGGGCCCTAGCAGCGGCAGAAGGCCTGCTGTTGAGTCAGTGGGGATCCTGGCTGCAACACACTGACCTAGGCTCTGGCAGTGCTGCAGCCAGACTCGGGTCAGCTGCCCCCGGGCCACTTCCAAACTCCCCCTCTGGAGGTACCTAGGTTAGGACGGTGTCTTCCGGGGGGTCAAGCACCATGGGGTCCTCTGGGTAACTGGCGAAGGGCAGGATGGGCAGCTCCTCAGGGCTCTGGTTGGTGTTGGGCATCGGCAGGTCAGGTCGAGCCTCGGATCCACTGTAGGTTGCTGGGATCTCCCAACTGGGAGCTAGGCCAGAGGCATCTGGCCTCTCCAATGGCTGCGCCTCGAGTGAGCTCTGGGGTCGGGCTTTTATACTTCCTGTCCTGCGCCTTGACCTCTGGGGGGTGGGCACGGGACTTGCTGGCTCCACCCACTCTGGTGTTGGGAGGGGCTCATCCCTCTCCGGGTCGGCAGGGAACTACACCGCCTCGCTACAGCTGGATAAACAGCACCTGCACCCCACCAGAAATAGCTGCATCTCAGCATCGGACGAACAATCCCTGTGTAAACATCGGTCATGTTGCGTCCCAGAGCGGGCTGGATTTCAGCACTAACTGAGAGATCCCTGTATAACCTGCTGCAGCACAAACCAGTGCTATTGAGCTGGCTGTAAGAACTCACTTTGCTCATCTGAAAATGTATTATTTAAAATTTGGCAAATTTGTGTTAATTTTGCCAAATTGTTGGTTAAAAAAAATAAATAAAAATTCAAAACTAAACCCTAAACATTTTGATTTTTTTAGTTTCAACATTTTATTTTAAAAAATTTAAAAAACCATGTAGAGATGCTTGAAACAAAACCTTTAGTTCGCCCCCAAATTAATTTTTTTCACACAAACTTTGGATTCTCCAAAAATTTTTAAAAATTCATTTTTGGGTCAACCCAAAAAAACCATTTGTTGTATTCATTTATTTGTCAGAATTGTCAGCTAATTAAAAAATCCATCATTCACCTATGTCGTCTTATAGCCCACACACTGTGTCTTTGGCCGCCCTCTAATGGCTGTTCTGCAAAGAGGTTTATTATGAGGTGGCTAGTTAGAGCCTTTGAACTAACAGATACATGTTTTCAAGCTCACTTCTCCTGGGTCATTGGATCCAGTCCCTGCTAGCACAGCCAACCCCGTTATAGAATCCTGCTCAGAAACGTATCCAGCTCCATCCTCACACGAGCTGAGGGTGTTTGCCCCCCACTCCTCCAATGGGGAAGCTGCTCCAGAACCTCCTTCCTCTGATGGGTAGCAACCTTCTTCTCCTCTCCAACCTCAATTGATTCCTGGCCAGTTTATCTCCAGTCATTCTTGTGCCAACATTGTCCTTTAGCTTCAATTGCTCATCTTGCTGCTTGGTGTATCCATAACAGTCCCTCCTGAGCCCCCCCTGCCATTTTTGCGGTTTTACACAATCCCATTTTTCCTGTTTATAAAAAGTGTTTAAAACACATTTTTTTCTCTCTGCTCTGCTTTGATAGACCCTACACTCACACAAGGGAAACTGACTACATTGGGGAAACAGGGCATGCAATCATGCCATTTAATGCACAAAAGCGACAGATCAAGACAACAGATTTTTTTTCCTCTCCATTCTCTTTTGGTTCTTGTTATTTTGGTTCTTGGCATTTGTGACTTGGGCTGGTTGACAAGTTTCCAATGAAACCTTTTCCCATCCAAAACTGGGGTTTTGCCATGGGAAAAAATAGCTTTCAGTGGAAATTTCCAGCAGGAAAATCGAAACAAAGCAGATTGTTTCAGGCCAACATTAATCTTTTCCTCCCTCTAATTTGCCAGGCTGCCTTGTGTGAGTTCTAGTTCTGGGTCTCTCGTGCTTTCCATTTTCCCCTGCTCCCCATTGGAACCACATCTTTCATGAGGCACAATGGCCGTCCCCGGTGCTGAGCTGCTGCAGGGCATCATAGGGAGCCCATGAAAGACCCGAAGACCTGGAACTACAACTCCCTTGAGGCCCACAGCAGCTCAGGCAGATGCAGAGATTAATGCTGACCTGAAGTGAAATGTTTCCATTCAGGGATGTTAGAATTGTTTCATTTTGTTTCATCAAAAATTGAATCAAAAATATTTTGGGAATTTTTTTGTTGCACAAGCAGGTTTCAGACATTTTGACTTTTTGTTCTGATTCAGGATGAAAACTAATGTTGGCATTTCCTGTGGGACAGAAATTCCATTTTTTTTAACAGTTCTACTTTTAACCAAAGTGAGCAGGAAAGAGTTAATGGTTGCCATCAAGCATGTCTTTGATCTAGGAAGTCACAGACCTCATTACAGCTTATGAGCCTGCTAGCTGCCCTGCATTCAGACTAAATGGAAGAAGCAATTAAATTTCTTTACATAGTGAAAGATGAAACAATAGAAGCCACTGCCCAAGACTCTGGGCCTCTTGAGAAAGGCTGGGCAAGAAAACTCAGGGATAAGGAGAGGAGTTTTCCTGGGAGTGATTGAAAACACAGGGGCTAGGGCATTGTTTGGTTCAGTTGTTTGTGTCAGAGCAGAGACAAAAAAACAAGCAGAAAGCGGAAAGAAAGCCAGAGAAGCACTAGTAGCGTGGCCCTGAGGGAGAGCTCCTTGGGATACAGGACTGTCAGGAGAGGCAGGCATCTCTACACTAAACATGCCGAGTTCTTCCAACCTTTCCTCACGGGTCACATTTTCTAAACCTCTGATTATCATTGTTGCTGTCCTTTGGACTCTCTTCAATTTGCCCATATCCTTCTTGGATCCTCCTAGCTATCCCGCTAGGGCTGCGTTGGGGATAGAAAGTAGCCATCAATGAGTAGTGCTGCTTGTCCCAAGAACTCAACCATCATAAATCAGGCTCCAAGAAGTCACAAGATACTTTTCAAATAATAAAGATGGGGTTCTGTTCATTTGCATTCAGGTGTTCAAGCCTCTAAGGGCCACATTTTCAAGTTTTTCTCTGCACACATGTGGGTTAGAAACTTTATTTTCTTTTTATATGAAAGCTGAGAGTCTTGTGTAATCACAGGACTCCAAAAGCTGGATATTTAAAAAGAACTTCAAATATCATGAGACTCGCAATGAAATTGTTGCCAGCTCTCACAATATATGTGTACACGTGGTTGCTAGCTGATATTTGGGGCCTGGCAGTGTTGTTTCTGTTAAGGTGAGGAATTGATGATCTGAGTCAGGTGTATTCCTTGGTACAAATTTGTTTTTTTTACAAGGAATGGACACACAATCCTGTTTCCTTGAATGTAGTAAAAACGAAGAAACAGCTGGCAGTTTCCTTGCTCAGAACTCCCTGAGTCTGCCTCCCCAGTGGGCTGTGTGCCCAAGAAGCCCTGGCTCTCTGCTTCTGCTCAGTATCACGCTCATGACTAGATCCCTGTGTGGCGTGACGGGGTAAGGCCAGATGACTATAGGAAAGTAGTGAGAAACAAGTATATTAGCCCCAGGCTAAACAAATCCGTGTTACCATGGTAACCAAATGGCAGTTGCTCCAGGTCAGTTAAGACACCTGGGGCCAATTAAGATCCTTCTAGAAAGCAGTGGAGACAGCTAGGTAGATTGGGACACCTGAAGCCAATCAAGGGCTGGCTGGAACAAGTTAAAAGCCTCCCAGCTAGTCAGTTAGGTGTGCATGTCAGGAGCTGTAGGAGGAAGCTATACTGCTGGAAAAACTGGTAGTACAAACCCTATCAGGCACAAGGAAGGAGGCCCTGAGGTAAGGGTGAAGTAGATGTTGAGGAAGTGGGGGGCTGCTGTCGGGAAGTGGCCGAGGGAATTGTACTCATCCTGTTTCAAAAAGTCAGCTACCAATAGCTGCTACTATTAGCAGGGCTGTCCCTAGCGATTGTGGTGCCCTATGCAGCCCCCCCCGGGGGGGGGAGGCTGGCCCTGGGCCTCTGGGGTGTGTGTGTGTCCCAGGCCTCTGGGGGGGGGGTGTAGAGGGTGTTGTGCCCAAGGGCTTTGGGGGGCAGGAGCAGTCAGCACAGGAAGGCAGCAGGAGTTGGGCCTGCCCCTGCACTCATGGGGCAGCAGGAAGTGGAGTGACCTGGCCCCAGCCTGCTCTGCTCCCAGGCCTGGGGGAAGGGGGGGGGGAACTGCCTCCCAGCACTCACCGGTGGCATGGCTGGGAGCTGGCATAGTGGAGGGGGCTGTGGCTGGTTGCTCCGGTGACTGCAGGACGGGCCTAACTCCTGCTGCAGTCTCCTGGGATGCATAGCTGAAGGGGTGGGATTTGGGGTGGGAAGAGGTGGGGGCTGAGGGGAAGGGGTGGGGCAGGAGCACAGGCAGCTACCCTGGGCTCTGCTGTACACAGCCCATGAGCGACTGGCTTAGCCGTCCAGGGGATCGGGCTGGCTGCTGGAGCTGGATGCAGCACACGGCTGCGTAGGGCACCAGGAAATTTGGGGCAATTTGGTGCCCCAAATTTCCTGGTGCCCTACACAGCTGCATAGTTTGCATATGGGTAGGGATGGCCCTGACTATTAGGGTCCCTGGGCTGGAGCCTGGAGTAGAGGATGGGCCTGGGTCTCCGCCCACCCCGATTAATCACAGAGACTGAGACAACAGAGATTGTGCGAGGGAGGGTTGCTTCTTCCCACCTCCCTTACTGGCTTACGATGAAAAGGGCTCAGTAGGCTGTGACCCTGGCCTCTAGAGAGAAGGGCTACATGGAGGGTCACAGTGAGTCTCTGAGGCTAGCCTAATGTGCCTGGCAGCGCGAGACCCACTGAGACAAGGTCGAAGCTTTTTCACAGCAGATA